CAACCCTAAATAGACACGCACACTTTATTACTTCATTACTGAAATTAAGCTATTTATTTATTTTCTTTCTCTGACTGGATCCCCTGGCCTGGTTGAGATTATTGAACTTACTTCTGTAGTGGCACCAGTGCTGAGGATGTGACTGAGCACTGTGGGGCAGGGATGGAACGGAGAAAATCATGTTTTGTTTGTTAAGACAAATGACATCTGCCAGAAATAAAAAGGCAATAACTGCAGTTTTCCTAAAAAATACAAGACATCAAATGACTGTCTTAAATAGGAGCAGTTGGCCCTGATGAGCTGAGATTTGTAGAACTAATACAAATTCTCTGAAATGATACATTTAATTGCAGTTACTGTTCTCTGTAAAGCATCTGGAAATTCAAAGCAATGGGATGTGAATTTATGAAGAAAGTTATTTCCTTATTTAATAAATTATAATAATTACTTTATCCTTAGAAGACATGTATCTCTGAGGTAAACGTGGCAGTCTTTCTGTTTTGCTAGTAATACAAATATGTCTAAATCTTTTTTACCATTTTCATATGCTTTGTACTATAAACAAAGCTGCCCTTAAAATGCCAGTATGGGACTGACTGTGAGATAGCACGGATGCATCTTACACCTTTAAAAGGATGATTTTTCTGGTATAAATATCTCAGCTCTGAGACTGGAACAATCTAGAGCAGCAAATGTGAAGATGAGCTGCTGTAAATTCTGTTAGGAGGGTTGGGTTTTTTTGTCAGCGTGGATATCTTGATCCATGTTTGTACCTCTTTACAGCCCTGACAGATTTAGCTGTGTCAGCAGTCGTGCTTAGAGGTGGGTCTGACCTTGCAATCGCCTGAAGAAGTGCCTGCCAGTTTCTTCAGACTTTTCTCTCATGTCTGCTCCACCCGCTTTAGGACTGGAGAGTCCTCCGCTTGCTCTTCCTCCTCCTCTTTTAAATATGAAGGCCGTGCTTTATTTTTCCACCCGGTGCTTGCAGTTAGGGGGCACCATTTACAGTTCTGACCTGTCTGGCTCTGTGTAGGAGGCGTCGATTTTGGAAAAATGTGCTTTAAGCTACTGAGAAAACTCCCTGTTTTTCAGAACTTCTTTTTTGTTGTTGTGTTAAATGTAGCTGCTGATCTAGATCGCTCATTTGTACTGATGAGTGCTGCATAATTCTGTAGAACTGCAGTCAGCTCCTGGGCTTTTTTTGTGCTGCTTGACAGGCTTTATGTGGGCTTGGTGCTAAGGAGTTCTCTTTGACCTCAAATTCCTTGATAGACAATCTGTCAGCTTTGGAAATTCCAGGAGAGTGGAAGAAAGAGAATACAGTGCCGGTGTATGGTATCTTTTCATGCATGTATATCAACATTTCAGCTGTTGTTTACTTGTTAGGTGCCTGGAGTTGAAGGATAGTTTTTATTGGGTTCTTATGATTAATGCCTTCTTTTCCAGGGGTTTGCCACCACCGCAGCAGCAACAGATGCTGAGCTTACGGGCGACAAATCAACCATCGCTGCTCAATGCCAATCCTATGCTTCAGCGGGCCTTACTCATGCAGCAGATGCAAGGTACTGTCGTTATGGGAGACGCTTACTTATTGGAGCTATTTAATCATCCTTCATGGATTGAAACCATAGTATGGCTATTTCTTGCTGAACCATTGCAGTCCATGTATTTGGCAGTTCTGTTTGTCGTTTGTTTTTTTTTCTTTCTCTTCAAATTCATCCGTAGAAAACATCACAGAGGTTCTTCAGTTGTTGAAAATTCCATATGTCCAACTGTTCACAATCGGGAATAGTACTAGAAGGTATCAGGTTAGATACTAAATATGTGCCTTCCCTCTTAGACTTGGTGGAGTGAGTATTTTTTCATCAATATATTTAGATAAAATACTTAGATTATTATTATTTGTTTGTCTTTCTTGGTTGGAAGGTTGAAACAATTTATTTCATTGTCTGTTGCACACACGCTAACCTTGTTTGTAGTAGATGTTTGCCTTTGTCCAAACTTAGCACAGTACAAACAAATAAAGTATATTGTGGTGGAAAATAGTTCGGGTTTCAGTTGTCTTGTGAAATTTCAATTCCCTGAAATGACTGTCATTTGTGTGGTAGATTATCTCTGTTCTTCTATCACTGTGTTTCCACAAGTGGATTTTTTTTGCCAGATGTGATGTTTTCAAAACAAATTTATGAAGCTGCCTTAATAATAGCATTGCTAACTGTTGTGGTTTAACCCTGGCTGGCAACTAAGCCTCGCACAGCTGCTCGCTCACTCCCCTTGCGTTGGGATGAGGGAGAGAATGGGAAGAGTAAAAGTGAGAAAACTCATGGGTTGAGATAGAGACCGTTTAATAGGTAAAGTAAAAGCTGCACATGCAAGCAAAGCAAACTAAGGAATTCATTCCCCACTTCCCATGGGCAGGCAGGTGTTCAGCCATCTCCAGGAAAGCAGGGCTCCATCACACGTAATGGTGACTTGAGAAAACAAATGGCATCACTCTGAAAGTGCCCTCTTCCTCCCTCTTCCCCCAGTTTTATATGGTGAGCATGATGCCATATGGTATGGGATATCCCTTGGGTCACTTGGGGTCAGCTGTCCCGGCTGTGTCCCCTCCCAACTCCTTGTGCCCCCCTGCCTCCTCGCTGGTGGGGTGGGGTGAGAAGCAGAAAAGTCCTTGACTTAGTGTAAACACTGCTCAGCAACAACTAAAACATCGGTGTGTTATCAACATGATTCTCATGCTAAATCCAAAAACACAGCACTTCACACCAAAAACAAAAAACACACCACCACCCCAGCCACTAGGAAGAAAATTAACTGTATCGCAGCTGAAACCAGGACACTAATATAAAGATATTAGGAATAAAGCTATGTTTTTATTTTTGCTCATGTCTTTACCTGACAGCTCTTTTCAACACAGAAAATCAATACCTGGGATAATTTTTAAGTGCCTAGTTTAGATTAATGCCTGCAATTTTTATCTTGCCTGTGAATCATGCCCAGATGTGAAAACAATAGATTTATTCTGCATGTTGTTAACTCTCCTTTTGTTCTCTCTTGCCCATTTAACAAGAGGGCTCTCTAGTGACTCCAGTGGTTCTCTACAGATCTCTCTCAGGTTGAAAACTGGCAGTGAAAAAGGACAAGTCATGCTCTGAAGATTGGTGTACATATTTCCATCAGGAAAACAGTCTGACTCTGCTTTAGTCAGCCATACTCCTTGCAGATATGTTTGATATTAGCGTAGGCTGACCTTTTCCCTAAAGCAAAATCTCTTATTGAGAAGTTGTATTTAAATAGTGTGCCAAGGACCTGAGGCAAATTAGATAGGAGAGCAGGGTATGGTATGTTAATGAACACTCTACATGCACTTTGTCTTAGTGTTGTTCCTCTTCTTTTCACTTCCACATGCTGAGTTGAGTTGTGATTTCTCTTTCAATAATCTGCATCAGGTAGCCACCAGTACATGTAATATGGTTGCAATGTCCAGTGTGGGACTTCTTAGGAACCTGAAATTTTTTGGTCATTCAGGTTTGGGTTACGTGTAAGAATATCTGATGCTGTAGTATTTCTGTACCTGGGAAACATCAGCATAAATAATTAATTGACTGTATGTGGCTTCAGGAGTGTGAATAGGAAAAAATAAATACTTCAAGTTGGAATGGGTGTATGGTTCTTTAAAGGTACTAAACCAAGAGCAGGAGATGATTTCTTGCTTTATAGACTTTTTAAATACAGCTATGTCTTTTTACAGTGAGAGATTATTTATGGTAAGTAATAAGAGATTAGATTACTTTTGAAGACAAACGTGGGGGAGTACTTTGTGTTGCAGGCTTTGAACAGCGTAGCTTCTTTTTTCAGATTTTGGGTGCCTGTATCCAAACTTCTCTGCCCTGTTTTGACAGCTTCTAAAAAGCCAGAGTATGCACTAATTCAAGTGAGAAATAAAAAAATTGCAATCTGAGTCCAGTTTCCTAGAATGCTGGGCAGCTTCTGAGGGTGTAGCTGAGGTATCTGTGCACTTCCATTCCCTCACCTCTGAAATGGGGATAGCGAGGACTGCCTTCATAAGAAATTGTGGAGACCTAGTTAATAGTCTGTGGATGATGAAAAGAACTGTTCAGAAGGCAGATCATTATAATTGGAAATGGCAGAGTCTCAAGTGTCGGAGTTCAGGTTGACATGTTGAGCTTGCATGACAACCAGGTGGCAGAGAGGACTGTGGAATCTTTTGTTTGAAAAGTCCAGTGTTGTTTTAAATGAAGTGCTGTTATTGGCTTGTGTTAAACAGCATCCATACTATGGTGTGAGCTGCCAGCTGCACAAATGTGGGATGAATTTTCCTTTTTTACAGAGACTTTTTGTAAAACGAGACCTTGTTTGTTGCAAACACAAGCGCTAGTGTGCTCAGATCAAATAATTGCTCTAATGATCTTAGCCTGCAGTCGACAATTATAATTAAATCATCTGATACATAGTAATAGTTGCTATCACATCAGATTGTTCTGTGGGGGCTGAAAAGGGTAGAGCATAGAGCACCCACACAGTGCCCAGTAAAGTACAGGGTCTTGCGCAGAGGAGCCCTTCCCCTCTCTACCTGCTGCTTCACAGGTGGAAGATTTTCTCTCTCCTTTGCACAATGCAGGGTGGTGATATGCTGTGTGTTTGCATTTGTAGGAAACCTGCGTGGATTTAACATGACAGCGCCAGCACTGCAGCAGTTTTTCCCTCAGGCTACAAGACATTCCCTCCTGGGGCCACCACCTGTTGGGGTCTCCTTAAAGCCGACTAGGCTGGGCTTCCCCAGCCTTCCCTTCCAGCGGCAGAACCGGACCTTTCGCAAGGTGGGCTTGTAGTTTCCAGCTGTTTGGGAGCTTTGTGCTCCTTTTGCACTTTCAGCAGTTGACTGTATTGTAGGTGGAGAACAAAAGAGAAGGGAGAGAGCCTTACAATGAAAAATACATTTTGCACCATACTGCTGACATAGAAATGCGGAAATAAGTCCATCCCTAAGGTTCTTGTGGTCCATATTTACATTTATGATGCAAAGGTTTCTTGTCACTTCTTGCCCAAGAGAGAGAATTCCTCATAGCAGAACTGTTTAAACCTAAGATATAAAAGGAGCCTTTAGAAGTACCAGCTTCAAAGTAATTACAATAGAAGAAATCCTGGCTGAGTGCTTTCCTCTTCACAGAGGCTAGAGTTCTGCACTATTAGCCTTCCAAAGCAGTTTGTTGTTCTCAAACTACTTGCTCCTAGCATGGACACTGTCACTTTGCCTCTTTGGGCTGTTTCCCGTTTTTTTAAGGTTAGGATCATATTTGTTCTTGTGCATTTTGTAAAATCTACATATTTTTTGTTTTGTAAAAACCTTTCTTGCTTTCCACTATTAAGACTTCTTTTATATCCTGGAAATGGTTATTGGATTAATTGACCAGTACTTCCCTCCTCTTAGATTAGCATTTGCATATTTGGTCCTATTCTGTCAAAAAGATGTGGTGGATAAGGTAGACTTCCACTCTTGGACTGTCCTTTCTCCAGAGTTGAGAGGAAGGGGGATTATATTGAACTATTCTTCTTCCCTGCCCAAGCACCCCTTGCTGGAGTCCCTCTAACCTGACCCTTCTCTCTGCAGGCAGCTTGGTCTCCTACAGCTGCTACTAAAAGTGCTGGAGAAATGTCATGGGCTGCCTGTGGAATTAAAGTGCCTTGTTCTGTTTAACTGCGGACGCTTGCCTGAAACAAGGCAGTCTGCTGTAAACCATCCCTTCCTTTCCATTACTGTGTGCTGGAATTCCTCTTCCTGCCCCACAGTAAAACTCTGGTGCTTTGGGCAGTGCGTTGGGTTTGAGGAAGGACCAAGAGCTGGCAGTGACTCTCTGCCCATTGCAGGACTTCCAGAGGGTCCCTGACAGGAAGCGTGAACTAGATCCTGGTTCTTCATCTCAGACACAAGGTGATGAGAAAATGGAAATTCCAGAGGGAGTGCAAGCAGGGTCAGAGCAGAACAGTTCCTTGCCATCCACAGGTAAGGGGGAGCCTGTAGTGAAACAAATGTTTCTAGACATTATAAACTTCTCTTGGCTATTCCTGCAGGAAAGACTGGAGATGACTTCAGTCTTAGCTACGTTTCTGTCTAATTGTAAATACTTAAACTGCCTGTGATAGGTCTCTGCTATGTGCTTCATATATCCTTTTTACTTGGATATTTTTGGATTTTTGTAAGCTAGCTCCGTATCTCTTGCATCGAAGCCTCTCAGAAGTCACTTTGACAGTAAGCCCCATTTAAGATGGGGGGGTAAAAAAGAAAACTGGTTTGAAATTAAAGCTTTCACATTGCCTTACCCATGCTGAACTCAACATCTCATGGAGTCAAGCACATGAAGCAGAACCAGTTGCAATCAACACGCTAAAGAAAAGATGAGTTGAAAGAGTACTTGTACTGCAGTTGTTGAACAGAAACTGGTGGTGCTGAATCTCTTACAGTGTCAGGTACAAAACAGGTGTGGAAATGTTACTTCTGACTGAAGAGTGCCTAATCTAAAAATGCAGGCATATGATGAGGTTGTGACCAGTGTATATGCAGTGGCGAAAATTACCTGATTAAATGGTTGCTGTCAGATAGATATGCCACCTTGGCTTATATTAATGTTCCTATGATCTGGGCTCTTGTCACCTAGGTAGAGGACTACGACTCACTTAGTAGATATAAACATAGATTTCTTTCTGGATGACACCTCATAGACTGACATCTGCAATAAAACTCAAATCTTTTAGGTCATTATCTAACCTTGTCACTACAATTCTCAAATTCAGAATAAGCAAGTGTATAGTAGTAGTTGCTCTAACAGAGCTTATTGGCATTGGCCATTCAGTTAGGGAGCATACTGAAGGTGGCATGGTCTGCTTTGCTAAGGAGATCTTCTGTGTTCCTGCAGAGCCAAGAACTCCAACAGAATCTGTGTTGAACACTGAGCCTGCAGCAAAAAGACTGAGGAGGTATTTATTGAATGGGGTATTGAAATAGTGGCTGGGTTTAGAATTATTGTCTAATTTTATTTTCTAATAATTAGGGCTGTACTGTACTGGCCTGATGGCTAGCATGTAGGAGGTATTTCAGATGCTTGTGGACAATTCAGAAAAGCTCATGATGCTTGCTGAGATCCAGAGTGTTGTAGGGTCTCTGCTATGGGTGATCCAACTGTGAGAATGAAAAACAAGCGATGCAGCTCATGTAAATGTGCAACAAAGCAGAGTTTGCTCATGTGTTCTCCTGCCAGGATTCTTGTAAGAAGCAGAGAGGTTCTTTTCTATTCTGATGTTTCTCTTGATTTTCTTCTCTAAATGTCAAAAAGGGAAATGAGCAGCCACATAGCAGCAGAGAGGAAAAACCTTGGAATATGTTAGGTTACAGTAGGTGTAGGAGAAGGTAGTTTATTTTGAGGAATGAGAAAGGGAAGGGAATTAATACTCCCTAGTATCCAAGCCTGTATCCATGAGTGTAGAGTTCCGTATCCCTTCTGCAAAGATTGTCTTGCCAGTACCCGTGTCTGTTGGGTAAAAATAGACAAAGGCAATCCTATTATCCGCAAGGGATGCACAGCAGGCCCGCATGCTGGCCATGGCAGGCCCATCTTGGCACTCCCTGCCTCCCCGACGGGCGCAGGAAGGAACGGACAAGGCCGCGTTGCCATCTAGTGGGAAGGCACGTCACGGAGCTCCTGGTGCCATCGGCACCGGGCCGTGCCTCTCCCAGAACTGTCGCTGGTAGCTGGTGCGGAGGGAGAAGAGGAGGGACCGAATACAGATTTCTGGAGGCATTGACTTGAGAATTCTCCAACATATGTTAACGACTGTGAGTCAGGACTCCTGGGTCCTCTTATCTTCCCTGCTAACAATTCGCTGGGTGATTTTGGACAAGTTTCTTCACCTCTCTGCTTCCCATCTGTAGATTAGAGATTAATGGCTAGCTTTAGGGAGAATATTCCAGGATTACTTTGATGTGCAGATATTACCTCATGTAAAACACTAAAGAGTGATAAATATTATGTGAGCAGGGACCATTGTGAATTACGGCCTCTGATTAGCAAGAAACTGAATAAATTCAATTAAAGCTAAGTCGAATGCATTTGAGCCTATGCTTTGTTAATCTGTTTGCCAAAGCTAATTTAATTTTAATTACATTAATATTTAGTAGGGTATTAATCAAAGTCCTGTTACGTACACTGAAAAAAGAATCAAGTCTGAGGAATGACAGGTCTCACTGCAGCAAGCCTGCTATTAGGAAAATCCTTTCCTAAGCAGTAGTTAGGGACTGCCAGATTTGATGCATATATAATGGCTGTTATTTACTTAGAATAGATCATTCCTTAGCTTTTTTTTTTGAAGTGTTTCTGTTTATTTCCAGTGAACAGATGATGGTTCTCTGAAAAAAACAGTTTACTTTTCTCGTATTGCCCTTCATAGATGAGAAAGGCATTCCCCCCATCCATGTCACAAACTTTTGTTTTGTGCTTCATTGTTCCATTTCCCTTTGGCTAGGAATACCAGCCTCCTTCTTCATTTCAGGTTTTTCCCACTTCTGCCTTTTCTTCTATGTGCCATCTGTATGCCTGGAACAACATCCTCATTCCAGTGTAGAAAGCACTCATCATCCGCAAATCCTCCTTGAACACCCACTTCTTCTAGCATGGCCTGACAAGTATCCATATAATACCATTTCCTCCTTAGATCATGCTCGTGATGGCTTTTGCTCCTCTAGATTGCTCTCTAGATTTGCAGTTTAGACTGCAAACCCTTGCCCTGGAGTGCTGTCACCATCTGTGTGTGGTATAGTGTTGAGCCTGCTGGCAGCACTTGACAGATAATGTTAATGCCAGCCACTCTTGTTTTCTTCACATTTGCACTGCCCAAACCCTGCTGCATATTTATAGCCATGTAACCCAGTTACATTATCACTTATCAGTATGATAAATTATGTGGTCCGTGTGTGTTTGAATCACTGGATGCAGTACCTGCACAGTCTACAAAACATGCTGCTCCCTGTTGGCAGAAGGACACCAGCTGGTGGGATATTGAGCTGGCCTGAGAGAGAAGACGTTCAAGCCATAGTGAAAAGCGTTAGCCCTGATGGAAAAATGGGGGATGGAGAAAGATATTATGAAGTATGCTTTGTGCCCTCTGGAAGTCAACCATTTATTCTCAGTAGTCCCCTCAGGATCTTTTTTTCTCCTTAGCAGATCATCAGTACCGAATAAAACAAAGCAAAGTCCTTTTGATTTGCATCTTGTACAGTTCCACTTCCCCACAAGCAGAACTGTAGAGACTCTGGAACAAAACGCAACTGATATGAATAGAGCAGGCCGTTATGATGAAATCCCTATAAGACACCATTGAGAACCTGTTCAGTTCTGATGGGTCTCTGTATGTTCCCTCATGCACACAGCAGCCTGGAGTACTGTCCAGGTATTGCAGTTTCCCTGCAGGTCACTAGTCAAGACAGGAGTGAGCTCTCAGAGCTGTTACTAAGAATATTTCCTTTGTGAACTTACTTCCCGGCAGACCTTTTGCAGGAGAGGGCAGTGATCCAAAAAATCAGTTGTAACCTTCTTGTCCAGATTATTTGGCTGCTGTTTCTGAGTTTGTTCTAGAATGCCCACTCTTCATTGTTTTTATTTCTGCTGAATCCTTGCCTGAAATACCACTTGCAGTAGCTTATTGATTTGGGGGTTTAGTGGAGAGTGTGGTAGCTTAGACTGCAGCCTGTGTCTTGGTGTGTCTTCTGAATCTCCTTGTCTGTAACATGGCAAATAAGGTTATTTTCTTGATACCCTTGAAGTGTGACTGAGGAGTCTGCATTAGAGGATGCAACAGACAGCAAGGAAGCAGGAGAGTCAAGCACCCATGTCCGAGCTGATGGTGAGTTGCTGGGCACTGTGATTTGCACTTTTAAGGCACTCCTTGCTGGAACTGCACCTGTAGATCAGCATCTGTAGATACCATGGGTCTTGTCAGAAATGTCCTTCTTCCAGTCGTACAGGATGGGGAAAGGAGGATAAAATCTAGGAATCAAATCCAAACATAGTCCCCTAAAACCTGTTGCCTACCAAATGCAAATGATGGGAAGTTTCCCTCTTTAAGAAGGATTTCTTTGGAGAAAGGTTTGTGAACTGGGCTTATGGCCAAAAGCTCCCTGACTTCATTCACCTGCTGTTTTGTTTTTTCTGTCATTGCTATTTTGATTTAAGGCAGCTAAAAGGACTCTTTCTTCCTAGGTACACACAATGCAAAGGAGTACACAGCTGAAGATCTCTCTAAAGAGAGGAAATTCTCTGAGGAACCAAAGGCTCCTGAGGTGAGTAGACACTACTCCATGCAGGCTGGGGTGGTGCAGAACATACAACCTCCCCCTCCATCCCAGAGAAGCCCGTTGCCACTGGGAACCAGATGGCACCCACGTCTGGAGCTCTGTCTCCTGCTGTAAGCTGTTGTCCCTGGCCATAAAGCATAATATGTCTGCAATTAGCGTGCAGTCTGCTCTGACTTGCTGCTTTTGTACTTCTGCTAGCCTGTACCTTACCTACTGCTGGCTGTTTGTGGATACTGGGGTTTGTTATGATTTCAGTATTCATCTGGAAAGATGGAAAGTTGAATTGAAAAGGCCACTGAAAAATATATGTATTGAGGGCCATAGCTAAATACCTTTTATTTGCTGAAGAGCAGGTGTAAAAAAATTCAGGTGATGGTAGTAAAGATGCAGCTGCTGTGGGACTTGCCATCACAGCAGGTGTGAGCAGATAGTCAGACTCTCTGCTTTTGAAAGGCAGTTTGGAAAAATGAGACACAGGTGAAGCCAGCAACCTGAGTGTCTTTTGCATGAAATACCTTGCCCACATGCTAGATGTTAAACCAGGACCTTATGGTGTTTAAATCTTTAAGCAGACAAAGATTTAACTAGTGGTGTGAACCAGACTTGATAGTCTTCCATAATTGGAGACATTTGTTGGTGTGATCAAATGTATCATCATCCTGCCCTTGTTTGAGTTCCTTACTCCATCAGGTGTGGTGCTGAGTTGCCTTTAGTTCTGCAGTGGAGAAACGTGAGCCTCGCCAACGCATTGTTTGTTGCTCCAGTCTCCAGAGACTGGATCATAACAGTGTCTAGAGATGCTGTAGAAACAACCATCTGTACTAATAGGCCTGGTGCTATGACACAGGGATCGCTGATTTAGCAGCATTGGGAGAAGGAGTGTGTATGAATAGTCTTTCTGATCAGCCTCCTGTGGATTCAAGCTTAAACGCATTTTCGTAAGGGGTAGAGAGCTTAGGTCACATACAGAAAGATGGTGTAATTTTTAGTGTCTTCTACTGAGAGATTGGACTTAATCTTGACTCCTTCTTTTGGCAGGTGTTGAGCTCTGGAGGTTCACTGAAAGTGACTATTCAGCAGAGCAGTGAGAGCAGAGCTATCAGTACAACAGCTCTGAAACCAGGGCATTGGACCTGCGAGGTGGGCACAGCTGATCCCAACCCTGAATCGGTCCTTAAATTCTACTGTTATATCTGCAAGACCAACTGCTGCAGTCAGCAGGTAAAAATCCAGAGGTCTGACTGAGATATAGGTGGTCAAGGGAAGTGAATTAGATGGCCAGCTGCCATGGGGAGGTGCCGCAGGAGGCTTGTTAGCAAGGGCTCATGCTTCAGGAACAAAGAACATAAAAATGATGACAAGCATGCAGATAAAATAAACCTCTCCTGAAGGGCTGGCAAGCAGCCTGCTAGAAAGCGAATGTGGGTGGATCCACAGGCAGCCATGCTCTTAAGCTTTTATACCATTTCATTGTTAAACAGCAGTCAAGAGAATGGAAAGTATAGCTCATACATATTAGTTTCTGTATTTTGAATACATTTAGATGGATTTTTCTCCTAATCCCTCTCTCAGAATTTCCAATCCCACATGGCTGGAATTCAGCACCAGCAGCGACTTGGGGAGATTCAGCACATGAGCAATGTTTGTTTTGTTTCACTACTGCCCATGGTGAAGGAGCAGAAGGTGCTAGCAGAAAAAGATGGGTAAGTGTTGGTCTGTGCTAGAAAACTCAATCTGAATGTGGACCTACATAGGTTCTAAAATTCCTCACTGCACCAGGGTATCCCTGTGTTCTAGGGAAGGTACAAAATCGCTCTGGTTTCAGGGGTCTTGCTCTCCTTCAGGCAAAAGGATACCAGTGTTGACTTTGACCTGCTGTGTAGTTTTTAATACAGTAGATCAGATCGGAGACTTGTTTCAACCGGTGCCCTTCTGTCAGCATGAGCTAAAGCAACCTGTATAAATGGCTGGGAAGGGAAGAAGATAAATCTGAGCCTGTAAAGATTGGAATGCTGAGGAAAACAATGCCGAGAACAGATTGCAAACTGCAGTATTCCATGGAGACTGTAAAAAGGTGTGACTTACAGATATATCTGTTCTCACTTCAGAGAGACCCAGCAGCGATGGTGTAACACTTGTCAGATACACTTCACAGGGGATCTAATCAAACATCGCAGGACCCAAGAACACAAGGTAACAACCATAGCACGGACTTCATCCTTGCAGTGACCTTTCATGGGGATTGAGTGGAAGTGCCTAGCATCTCCTGCTCCCCAAGCAGTAAAGGAAAAGTGATTGGAGTGCAGAGATGCACCTAAAGTTCTGCCGTAACATCCTCACTGTCTTAAGGGCACTGCCATGCTACTTCCTGCCTCTGAACACTGGAATTGTTGGAGCTTCCTGTTGTCATGCTGTGTCGGTATGGCCTGAAGCACCTCTAGTGTATAATTCTTGGCTTTTCTCAATAAATATTGCCTATCATACTCACCTAATCAATTGAATGGAGGAATTGGTGGGCAGCCTGTAAATTTTCAAGATAAAATTTAGGCAGGCAATCATATTTATTGGCTCCTGGGGGAGAACCTGGGGAACACCTTTTATAAGCCACTTTTTTTTTTTTTTTTTTCTGTGCATGTTTTCCATCTTTTTGGTGGATAAGAGCTAGGGAGTCCCTTCTGCTGAAAAGAAGACTGTCTTTGTGGTCTCCCTGTTTTAGATGCAGGGCTGTGATTTTGTTTCACTCAAGATTTATCTGCATTCCTCCAAAGTGGTGCCTCTTGTGACTTACTGAATTGTCCCTCTTGCCTTAGCTGGCCAAACGCTCGCTTCGTCCTTTCTGCACTGTCTGCAGCCGCCACTTCAAGACCCCTCGCAAGTTCGTGGAGCATATGAAGTCCCCTGAGCACAAACAGAAAGCCAAAGAGGTAATACTGCCTGAGTGGAGAGCTGCGCAGGACTGGAGGCAGCTACACTGTGGAGCAGGTTAACTTTCTGCTTCCCTCACTATTGCAGGGACGAAAGGAAGACGTGTAGTTCTTCCAACCCTGTTTTAATTTTCATCTTTTGCTGGACTGCAATTGTGTGAAAAAGGGACAAGGAGCTAGAATTGACATAGCTTTGTGCCTTTCTTGCAGTCCCTTCTACTCATCAAATGCAGTCTGTTCAGAATCTGGGGTCTTCCTTGGTTAAACGGAGAGCGCAAAGTTGATCTGATCTTTTCTGTACCTGACAGGTGAGGCTAGGAGAGAAGGAGGTGGGCAGCCCAGAAGATTCGGAGGAGTTGATCACAGTGGATGCTGTTGGCTGTTTTGAAGATGATGATGATGAGGAGGAGGAGGAAGAGGGGGGGGAAGCTGGTGAGGAGGAAGACCTTGATGTAGTGCTGATAGAGAATGAGGATTCTGCTGCCAAGCAGGTATGCCATGCAAAAGGAGAAAGAATGACCTATCTGAGAATCTGCTGTGTGATCCTGTGACTTAGTTGGTCTTGGCTGGTTGAGCTCAGGGTTTCAAGAGTCCAGTCACCCTACATCAGGAGACTGAGGGCTCTGGGGTTCTTCCAGAGCACAGGAGGATGCAAAAGAGAATCAGGCACTATGTGTGGAATGCAGGAGGGTGTTTCTGCTATGCTGTACAGCTCCTACTACTGTCTTCAAACATTACCTTGTTGTTGAGGTGCATAAGCAATGTTTTTTCACGGGAAAGACTTTGTGACAAAGACATTGACATAATCTCTTTGAATAGCCCAGGAGTAGCTTGGTCTCATAGCAAACATATGTGTGGAGGTTTATCTTGATAAATGTTTTCCCAGTAGAGAGTAGTTACCAAGAAAGAGGTACATGGCTAAGCTACTTAAGGCTTGGAGTGCAAGGGGCATTTTTAGCCCTTGTAATGAAGTGGCCTGCTGACACTAGGTTTTGTATCTGGCCCTAACCAAATGCTGTGCAACTCTGTCTCTGGTATGTGAATCCTCTGTTTTGCTCCCAAGCTTATCAGAAAAATGTAAGAGCCCAGAAAGGGAACAGGTATGGTAGGCACTAATGTTCTTTTGGTTTCCAGACTGGGCTGAAGGAAGTGTCTTTGGAGGATTACGAAGGAAGCGAGAAGTATTGTCCAGACACAGCCTATGGTAAGCAAACAGAGTTAAGCACAACAGCCCATAGAGCATTCTCTGGCCACATGCTGTATCTGTAAGAGAGGATGGTCTCTACCTACTGGTGTAACGACTTCTTTGGGCCATGGTGCTCCAGCATCTGCATTGGACCGGTGCAGGTCACTGCTGCCTGGAGAAAGAGCCAAATGTTGCTTTGTTACTGTGTGATAAAACATAAGGATGTGATTCATGTTTGTCAGCTGCCTTTTGCTTTGAAGAAGAAAGGATGAGAGCCAGATACCTTACTAAGGTAGGAAATGGAACAAGTAGGGCAGGAGTACTGAAGAAAGTAGGTAGCAAATGAGGGGTGCTCTGGAAAGATGGAGGCTGAAAGCATATTGATTAGAATGCTTTCCAACAGAAATGCAGCTTGTATAGAGATACTGAGCAGTACTGACAGTATCGAACTCTCTGCCAGAGCCCAAACTGTGCATGTTTCCTCCGCTTCAGAACCCCCACGCTCTAGCAGTTATTCAGACATGGTGCTGGACTGGTGGGCTGTGTTGCCTCCAGATGGCTGTCTCTGGTCCCCACCCTGTAAGCGACTCTGACTTCAGACCTCTAATGGCCACTCATGTTGTGAGGAGGGCAGCTCTGCAGAGGCTGTTTTGTGCCCAAGGAGAGCTCTGTTTACACCAATCTTCCATATCGCTGTAACCTTCCACTATCGTGTGGCAGATGGAATAATGATTCATGCTGTGAATGTTCTCTGCGTGTTCCTCTTGCGCGCCTGCTGTCTTCTGCTTGGTTTGATCCCATTACATTAGATCACATGTTCTCTGTAGTTTTCCATTGTATTCTTTTTT